AGAAATCACTGAAAATGTGAACCCCAAAGTTCACACTGGAAACCAGGTGTGGTGTGGAGACAAAGAGATGTGCCTGACAGAATTGAAATCCACTAAGGTGAAAAGGAAAAATAAACCCTTGGAGTTATAACTCAGGAGTTATAGGACAGGAAGGAGATCAGAAAGTGGAAACTTAAGAATGTAGCTCTGACTTGGGCGGTGCAAGGCAATATATGTAACCAAAGCGTTTGTACCCTGTAATATTCTGAAATAATTTTTAAAAACAATATACAAAAAGAAAAAAAAAAGAATGAAACTGGCTCTGGGTATAAACTTAGAATACCACACTTTGCAGACCAATACTACAGAAAATAGCCTTCTCACTCTCTCATTTCATTTTCGAGTTTATTTCATCTGTAAAGAATTAGCTCTGGGAACTATGTTAGCTAGTTTATACTATTAAATTGTTCTTAAATGAGCAACTAATTAGTTACATGTCAGGGGATGTGATGATTGGTATCCCATTTTGTTTGCTACGACTACTCACTTCCAAAGATGGATTCTATTTAAACTTCTCCATGTCCTTCTAACCTAAGTGTGCATCATAAACAGTTTGGACTCTCACCAATTTTCTTATCAATATCAGTTAAAGGTCCAGGTTCCTGGATTTTATTCCCTTCCAGTCCCTTCCCCCCACCCACACCCTTTTTCTACATCTGCTTTTCTCAAAATGCAGCTGACAGACCCTCTCTTGATGTCCCAGAGACCCTTTCAAAGGGTTCATGAGGTCAAAGACTATTTTCACAATAATCCTAAGACTAACTGCCTTTTTCACTGATGGTGCCAAAGCAATTTTTATGCTGAGTAAAACTGCTGGTGCCTTAGCATGTCTGTCAGTGTACAGTGTCCTGCAACTGTACTGGTTGTCACTATATTCTACACTGTCACAGCCTTGCAGTTAAAAAAAAAAAAAGATGCGGTAAAAAATATCATTTTTATTAAACCTTTGTCCTTGAAGAAATGAAAGTACACGTAAAGCACTTATGCTCTGTACTGAAATATGATGATTTGAGTACTGGGTGATTGTTGGAGCTGCTAGCTGAACTAGCTCATTTCTCATGGAACACCTTTTTACCTGAAAATACAATTGCTAAGATGAACTATGGCCACTCAGACTTGGATATTTGGCAGGCATTTTCTTGAAAATAAATGATATTAGCCTGTCACTTTAAGGAAAACAACTGACAATATTTTAAAATGAATTAATGAATACATATTTTTAAAATCTCAGTGTTAGTTTCTAATATCATAAATATTCATAGATAAAACCCACATAAACAAAAGTCCTCAATGATATTTTAAGAGTATCAAGGGGGTCAAATGCTGTCCAAAGTGTTCTTTGGAAATTTGGCCCTTGAGATGTTCTAATTCTTTGCTATCCAGATATATAGGATAATTTAAAGTAGCCACATGTGGTTATTTAAATTTACATTAAATATAATTTTAAAACTTCATCGTGCAGTTGTATTAGCTACATTTTAAATGCTCAATAGCCAAAGCTGGATAACAGATTGCAGAACATTTTATCATCTCAGAAAGGACTAGGTAGCAAGGAGCTTTGCATACACCTTCCTCCTGTTTATTCACCATGTTCCTTAGAAGCCAAAAGATTCTGCCAGGTTCTGAAAGGAGGAAATACTGTTTTATTTTGTTTCAGCATTTTCAAACTTATTTGAACACAGAATTTTATTTTTTGCATACATCTGTTCCCATTCTACAAAACACATTTTGAAAAATGCTGTTCTGCCTTTTTCCAGTATTTTTTAACTATTCCACTGAATACGAAGTTTTGTTATAAACAATTTTATGCCTCTTGGAAGCAAATAGATATAAATAATACATTAAATTATAGAAACCTATCATCTAAATTTAAATTTCATTCCCTTGCTTGTTAACAATGGGGATTTCCCTCTATTGGTGTATTTTTCAGTTCAAATTAATTTTTTGATTATTTGTAATTTTTTACCCAATGTAATGTTTGCCATCAGGTTATATATTTGAGTTTCCTACACAGAGTCTCAGAGACTGTACTCCTGACTGGGAATACCTGTGACTTCTGAGCATCCTCATCAGTCAGTAAATAGGCAAGCTTAGTTTTTTTAAATAAACTTCACATTTTTATTAGTTTTAGACTTACAGAAGAATCGCAAGAGTCACAGAGAGTTCCTGTATACCTCACACCCAGTTTCTCCTATTGTTAGCATTACTATGACTTGTCTACAAGCTTTACTTTTAAAGTTTCTAATATAAAAACAATAGGTTTATTTTTTTCAAGTTAAAATTATAATTTTGAATATGCTTTTTCTTTCTTTTTTTTTTTTTTGAGACAAAGTCTCTCTCACTCTGTTGCCTGGGCTAGAGTGCCGTGGCGTCAGCCTAGCTCACAGCAACCTCAAACTCCTGGGCTCAAGCGATCCTACTGCCTCAGCCTCCCGAGTATCTGGGACTACAGGCATGTGCCACCATGCCCAGCTAATTTTTTATATATATATCAGTTGGCCAATTAATTTCTTTCTATTTATAGTAGAGATGGGGTCTCGCTCTTGCTCAGGCTAGTTTTGAACTCCTGACCTCGAGCAATCCTCCCGCCTCAGCCTCCCAGAGAGCTAGGATTACAGGCGTGAGCCACCGCGCCTGGCCTCTTTTTTTGTTTTGTTTTTTTTTGAGACAGAGTCTCACTCTGTTGCCTGGGCTAGAGTGCTGTGGCATCAGCCTAGCTCACAGCAACCTCAAACTCCTGGGCTCAAGCAATCCTTCTGCCTCAACCTCCTGAGTAGCTGAGACTACAGGCATGCGCCACCATGCCCAGCTAATTTTTTTCTATATATTTTTAGTTGGCCAATTAATTTCTATCTATTTTTTAGCAGACAGGGGTCTCGCTCTTGCTCCGGCTGGTTTCAAACTCCTGACCTTGAGCGATACGCCTGCCTCAGCCTCCCAGAGTGCTAGGATTACAGGTGTAGCCACCGCGCCCAACCCTGAATATGCTTTTTCAAACCACACACACACCAAAGACACACCTGAGTTATTATTTCAGGCTTTCCTTGAGTATAGTAAGCTGAAGCTCTAAATAATTAGCTTGTAGTCTTGTCACTTAAGACCGACAAGCCCCATCACACCTTTCCAAGGTATGGAGCAGCTGGGCTGGTGACGTTGGCACCGGGGCAATGAGCAGGCAGTACTGGCTAGAAGTTACAGAGCAACAAGAAAATGGAGGGACTGAAGCCCTTGCCGTCAGCCAGGGGCAGGGAGCCAAGGTAGTGAAAATATGGAGTGAAACTCCAAAATGAAAAGTCAGCAATGGAGGACAGGTAAGACTGAGGCAGAAAGCTGAAAAACTCCTAGAAGGAAAGGAAATGCTGAGGAGTAGATGGCATGGATTGCCAGCAGATAAACTCATGAGTTGAGAGGCAGCCATTAAGGACACTAAGCTGGTGTGGATGAATTATGTATTCTCTGTAAGAAAATAGTTTATTAAAATGGGATGCATATTGATTAATTTGTATGCTGTTTTAAATTTTTTCTCTCATAACAGAAATTCATGAATATTCATATTTATGTTTCTGAATGCCTATACAAAGGCAATCTGGAAGGACATACCCCAGAACTTATCTGATTTTGTTAAGTGACTGTATGAATGCCAGCATGAACTAACACATGGATTCAAATGCACCTGAATATGTGAGTCAATGAATCATTGAAAGGAAACATGGGGAGCGTATTTTTCCATCTCTAGGATCTGAAAGGGGACATCTTCCAGCCTCCAGGGCAGTTAAATTTTACAGGAGTTATTCATTTGTAAGGTGTAGGTGCTTATAAGATAGGTATTTATAACTTGGAAAATGCCTGTACCTTTGAGGAACAATCTGAAAACCAAACAAGCCTTTCCTTTTTCCTTCTTTAGGACTAAGTGGCACTTAGCAACAGTAAAGAGAAAATAGAACAAATTGAGAGTATGAGGCAAGACCTTTATCACCATGTCTTTCTGAAGCGGATACACATTCCCTTATTTAAGTAGTCAATGCCTTGATTCAAAGTATTGGGAGCAGGTAGGGAACCAGGCACTCTTAGTTACCATTGGTGGAAGTGTAAATTGGTGCAAATATTTGGGAGATAATTTTGGTAATATTTTATCAAAATTCTAAATGCACATGCTATCCAGACAAGCAATTTCACTTCCAGGGGTTTATCTCCTAGAATGCATGTATAATGCATAATATGAATGTACAGGATATTAACTGTAGCACTATCTCTAATAATCAAAAATTGGATACTTTCCTGGGGAGCATGTTAAGGAAAAAAAACTGGAAGTAATCCAAATGTCCATCAATAGAGAACTAGATAAATAAATAATGTTATATCAATATAGTGGGATATGATACAGGACTTTTAAAAAAGGATATTAGCCTTTTATTTATGGACATACAAAGATACATAATTTAAATTATTTAGTGATGAAAGCTAAATTGCAGAACAGTTTACACAGTACAAATCCATATTCTAGAAAGAAGATGTATATGCATAGGGGAAAGACAAAAAGGATATATTACATATTTAATGGTGGCTACCTCTAGGGAGAGGGGATTGGGGTAGGAGTAGAAGAGGCCTTTTAAAATCTTATGTATTTACTTCTATATTTAAAAAAAAATTATTTACAACAAATATGCATGATCTTTTAAATAAATATTATACAAGTAAAAACAATAATTAATGGCTACTTTTTCAAGTCCTGAGCTGAGAATTTACCTATTCTTGGGTCTTAGAAAGCTTTAATGACTGTAAATATTTCCTTTGAGGTCATATGAATGATGGAAGGAACAAAACCGAGCAAAATACCAGAAATTTCAAAATTTGAGCTACATTCCAGTCATAAATACCTGGTGTCACATATTACAGACATCATAGCTCTATGGTGAATTCTTTTTTACAATAGAGTTCAAACTTTTGAATGAGACCATTTTTAAAAGTCTGTAAGACTGCAGTGGATCCTCACTCAGGAGAGAGGTTGGACTTGCTGTTGGTTGGATTTATTTTAATCTATCCTTAGCCTTCCCAGAGCAAACCCCTCAGTAAGAATTTCTGATTGGCCTGCTGTCTGTTTTTGTTTTGTTTTGTTTGCCCTTGGAAGTTGTCACATGTTCTCCCTGACAACACGATTTCTCAGTGTTCTAGGGCAGAATCCTGTTCCAGACCACATTTCCCACTTTGCTTAGTATCTTCTAGAGGTAACGCAGACTGAGCTCTTTTCAATTTCCATAGGAGTTAGTATCACCACACCCACCTCTAGATAAACTCAAGCTCCCTGTTATTCAGATCTACTTTGATTAAGCCCAGAGGTCTGGTTGCTTCAGCCTTCAGGCAGCCTGAAGAATGGCCAAGTTCACTGAACTGCAGCTGTGACCTTTATTGCCATAGCCCTGGGCACAATCTTCAAGCAGTCGCATTTTATGTGCCAGATTGCTGGCCAAGCTTTTAAAGTACACTACATAATGTCACGGACCATTTCAGCTGGAGTCCAGACACTCCTGGTATAAACACAGCCACCAGCACGCAGTAAGTGTTTGCTGTCATTGACATGGACTGCGTGCTTCAGTTTGGTGACTAGAACTGGGGCCAGAAAGAGGGGTATGAGAATGACAGAGATGATAAAATGACACTAAGCCCTTTGTATGGGTTTTGAGCCCTTAGGGCTACAGAACATTTTTTCATGAAGCAGCCTTGCTTTGGGGCCCAGATACCAAAGAGTGGCACAGAGTTGAGAAGGGCCGTTTTCTCTCTTTCCTTGTGGAATCCAGCATTGTTCTGGCGCATAGGATTACAGGTTTGGGGGACATTGGGAGACAGTATTCTTAGCACTATTCTTAGTCAAGTGTTTCACGGTGGACTTTCTTAGCAAAGGTAGTGATAAAACTTTCTTCTAGGCAGTCGTCAGGAATGAATATTGACCAATGACAACTGGTGCAGACAAGGAAAAATACTATGGATGCCCCAAGAGGGCCTGGGCAGAGACGTCTGTAAGACTCTGCTATGTCCCTTCATACAGTAGATGTTAGTAGTACATGCTGAGTGGGTAAATGGTTCCATGTAGTGATGAAAGCCTGCAAGAGGGCTTGTGAATATGGTGAAAGTATATGTTCAGGGACTCCCAGAAAGAACCAGGATCATTTTGGAGAAAAATGATTCCCATTTAAAGACAATAAAACTTGGATCTATCGTACTTTACGCATAGCTATAAGTGTGACCACATTTGTTTCTACAGGTAAAGGCAGATGACAATTGGGTGAGAAATATTTGCTAAACCACGGCTGGTGAAATAGCTTTTATTAAATAGGTAATCTCCTGGTTTTTTGTTTTGTTTTTGTTTTTCTATGCAAAAAAAATCATTTATAAAATTGAACCATATCCATTGTAGTCTTAACTAGATTTTTCTATAGGCAATAGGATCTGTAACTTCAGACTGAAATTATTTTTAAATGTAGTAAATATGCTTAAGGAACAAAGGTTCTGGAGATACAATATAACTTACTGAACGCTTTTGTTCTCTCTCTGGATTAGTTGAAACTGAAGCCAAATGTGGAGCTGCTTGTGACTATGAGTGCTTAGATACAGACTTTGAATAGTCATCAGAGCCTGTTCAACTATAACTAATAAGCTCCCTGCTAGTTCTCAGACCTGATTTATCACAGAACTTCATGTTTGCATTTTAAAATTCATTTCTACACCGAGGTCTTGGCTAAGGAGGAGAAGGAAGGGAAAGAAGGTAGATTTTATTTGGCTTTTAAGGTCAGGCAGTCAATTTGGCAGCAGGGCTTTATATAACCTTTAACTTCTCCTAATTAGAAATTTTCAGAGTACCTGGCTCTCCCCAGGATGCCAATTTGCTAGAGAATCTGCTTGCAGCCTCCATATGAGAAGTCAATTTGAAGCCTTAAGCAACAAAAACAACAAAAGGTAAGAGCCATGAAACAACTTATTTCCCATTGTTTTGACTCATTGTGAGGTTGGGGTTAACCTGACTTCATTTTAAACTCATTCACCCCCATTGTCCTAGAAATAAGTCAAACTTTCATAAACCAGTCATAAAGGACATAATTTTCCCCTCACTGTTGTAAGAAGGTAATAATTCATTTTAACATCATTTCCAGATAACAGTTTTAAAAACAGTTTCACTTTGCTATTCTTTTACAATCCGATAATGACAATTATATTAAGTTAAAAGTAACATTCCATTGAATATTGGTTGTGATAAACTAATCAAGAAAATGGAAAGAAAGAAAATTTCAGCTTGTTTTGAAAAACTTAGAAGCACAATTTATTTCAATACAGAATTTCAGGATAATATGCTGGAGAGTGAATGTGCTCATGATTCTATAATTTTCTGTGCCTGTCTTTCTCATATGTAACTTCATCCCCTTCCATAGTTTCAATTACTATTTATAGCCTGTCTGAAACTGAGTTCACTAGCTTTCCTTCCAAATCTATTCTTCTTTCTTTACTTCCACTGTTGGTAACTGGCACCATCATCCGTTCAGTCTCCTAAGTGAGATATCTAGGAATCATGCTATAGTGATCTTTTTTAAAGACAAGATTTAATGAGATATAATTTATATATTATACAGTTCACATACCACGCAATTCACCTTTGTTTTAAAGTATACAATTCAGTTTTGGTATATTCACAGAATTGTGCAGCCATCACAATCTTTTAGAACATTTTCATCCCCCCAAAAGAAGCAGTCAGAGTCATTCCCATTCTCCTCTCCCCCACTTCAATCCTAGGCAACCACTAATCTACTTTCTCTTTAGATTTGTCTACTCCAAATATTTTATGTGAATGGAATCACACAATATATAATCTTTTATCACCGGCTTCTTTCACTTAGCGTAATATGTTCAACGTTTATCCATGTTGTAGCACATGTATTGACACTTCATTCTTTTCTTTTCTTTTTTTTTTAAGACAGGTTCTCACTCTGTCACCCAGGCTGGAGTGCAGTTATAGCTCACTGTATCCTTGAACTCCTGGGTTCAAGCGATCCTCCCGCCTCAGCCTCCCATTCTTTTTTATTGCTGAACAGTGTTTCATTGTATGCATATAACACATTTTGTTTATCCATTTATTAGTGGATGGACATTTGAATTGTTTCCTCTTTGTGCATATGCTAAGAGTCATCTTTGTCCTTTATCTTCCTCTATTCTTCAACCTATAATTGGTAACCATACCTATTGCTTCTGCCATTGTGGCCTCTTTCCCATGTGTCCCTCCTCTTCATCACTACTGCTATAGCTTAGTTTCAGAATATCTTCATTCCTCACCTGTAATTATTGCAAACAGCTTTGTATATTTCTCTCCTCTTCCAATCTTGCCTCCTTCCCTAATCCATCCTCAGCAGTTATAATGTACTTTGTATTGCTTAAAACAACCAAATGGATCTCCAATGAGGGGTGGGGTGGGGTGGGGTAGAGGTAGGAAGAAGGACTTATGAAATATTTTTATTTCCCCACTCCATAGAATCAGGGAAGAACTGAAGAATCTATATTTTTAAAAACAGATTCAGGCCCAGCACAGTGACTCATGCCTGTAATCCTAGCACTCTGGGAGGCTGAGGTGGGAGGATTGCTTGAGCTCAGGAGCTGAAGACCAGCCTGAGCAACAGTGAGACTCTGTCTCTACTAAAACTAGAAAAAATTAGCCTGTCATGGTGTTGCATATCTGTAGCTACTCAGGAAGCTGAGGCAGGAGGATCACTTGAGCCCAGGAGTTTGAGGCCACAGCACTCTAGCCAGGGCAACAGAGTGAAACTCTGTCTCAAGGAAAAAAAAAAAAAAGATTCATAGGGGAATTCTATGAAACCATAAAAGAAGAGACAATTGTAATGCTATTTAATCCAGATGAGGGCATTGGAAAAGTAAGAAAACTCCCCAAAATCTTTTAAGAAACGAGTGTAACATAAATACCAAACCTGACAAAGATAACATAAAAAGAAAAGGTCAAGGTGCAATGGCTCCCACCTGTAATCTCAGTGCTTTGGGAGGCCCAGGTGGGAGGATTACTTGAGACCAGAGTTTAAGACCAGCCTGGGCAACATAGCAAGACCTCATCTTTACAAAATTTAATTTTTAAAAATTAGCCAGGCATGGTGGCGCGTACCTGTAGTCCTAGATACTTGGAATGTAGGAGGATAGCTTGAGCCCAGGATTTTGAGGTTGCTGTGAGCTATGGTTATGCCACTGCACTCCAGCCTAAATGACAGGGAAAGACACTGAGAAAGAAAGAAAGAGAGAAAGAAAGGAAGGAGGGAAGTGAAAGAAGGAAGGACAGAAGGGAAGAAAGAAAAGAAGAAAGGAGGGAAGGGGAAAGAGGGAAGGGAGGGAGAAATTAATGTAAATAATAAACGAATTTGGTAAAGAAATAGGATTTAAAATTAATATAAATAAGTCAATAGCCTCATATAAGCAAAAAATAAGCAGATAGAAGAAATAATGGCTGATACCTATATATGCATTTCTGAGATATTTTTGTAATATATTCCACAGCTGAGTAAGACGAAGTGGATAGATACGGAGGTGGCAAGAGCAACTTTGACTTTCATCTTGCAACTCCCTGCTTGAATGGTTAACAATACGTTTATAGAACTTAAATCAAAACTAGGAGTAAGAATAATAATGTCAAAAAAAGGGATTCCCAGAGGACTGTGTTGGGCAGGCTAAGATGCAAGACATTAGCATTCAAATCCTGGATGGTGTGGAGCCTCCAGACTCATCTCTTGCCACATTCCACCCCACATTCCTTGTGGCAGCCAGGCCCCCTCTAGTTCGCTGGCGCAGCAAGTTATGTCACTGCTCTGTGCCTGACATGCCCTTGTGGAAGCAGCCTGGAAGGTGGTTCTCTGTCCAAGCATCACACTCGCTGAAGCTGCTCTTGAGTGCCCTCCTCCTCCGCCCCCCACCCCGGCTCCAGATAGAATCGAGTTCTTCCTTCTTTGTATCACTCTGTCCACCTTGCTCATTTCCATGTCTGCTTCACCCCACAAGACTGGCTGACTCCTCTCTCAGCAGACTGCTTGCCCTAACATATCTGATCAATAAATCGAATGAGAGAGAAAAGAAAATGTTTGACTTAATTACTTGACAGTTGCTATCTTGATTTCTGGAGGTAAGAGACTATAAATATCCCTACTCAGGGTTTCCTAGCCAAAATGTTTGCCACTTACCATGATGGTGAGTTGGTTTTGAAACATACTATAAAAGAAATAGTCATACTTTTTTGAAATAAGGTAAAAAAATGATGGTTAAAACTAATACCTTTTCAAGTTGTATCAATAAAAGCCAAAAGGTAGGAAAGGTACCATTGTTTATAATTAAACAGGTTTTCAACTCGTTTCAATTGTCTCTAAGTTAAAGGTACTTATGTGCACAGCAGTCATCGCCACCTCTGACCCTACTGCTCTAGAACAGAGCTAGAGCTTGGGACCCAAGTGCTGTGTCCTCCAATGCCTAGGGAGACTGCTAGTGCCACTGTGGTTGCCTGTTCCCCAGTCAGCAGGTGGTTCCATGGCATATGTGGTTACTCTCCCAGAAGTTCTACCTCTACTTCATCAACCACCATACACAAAATTTGTCCCCACTTCTGTGGGAATTAGATAGGAAGTTCTGCTGTAGAGTCTGGGAGAGAAGCAGTAGGGGCTTTGCTGGGATTTTGGAGTAGGATGAAGCAGAATTAGATTTATTTCTGATAGTCTTGGTTAGAACTTAGAACACAAGTTAGCCTAGAAGCAATGTGATTAGATGTATTAGGTTTTATACTACTTCATGTGCTACATTGGAGGTGTGATTGAAAGCTAAGGCGCTACCTCAGGAAACTAGAAGCAAAAATTTACCATGCAATCTGAATTTCAAAAGACTTGTAAGCAATTATACTTCAAAAATTCATTTGTAAATTGAGAACTTTGTACTCATCAAATCAAGAAGAAAGGGCAAATGAAATAAAATATGTCTCTGATGATATATAATTGGAAGAATAACTTTTCAAAGTAATTTCCAGGGTAGAGACTTTTCAATTCATACCTTTTGAATTTTGCACCATGTACATGTAGTAATTCTCCTCCCAAAAGGTTTATTTTAAAAATGTTAAAAGTTACTGCTGTGTTATGTATTTAGTACATTTCTTTAGTGTGAAAGTGAATATGTATTATTTCTTTAAACCCTGGCCTCTTCCTCTCTTCTACTATTGAACTTGAACTTGCCTGTTTATAGCAGGTCCAAGGTTGAGATATTATCTCAAGCAATACTTGCTGCTGTAAATATTACTCTACATGCTGGCTGCCCCTCCCTGTAAAAGTAAGTATGCCATTGTGGGAGTAACTTGTTTTGCCTTCACTATAAAATGAATTTTTTTCACAGGAATATTTATTCCCTATTCCTGGTGTTTTCTTCCATGGGCATGGACGTCAATTAGTGTAACTCTCCCAAGCCCGCCGCATCCTCCTGCTACAACTTTCTTTAGTGACCCTGAAAAAAAAACTAGAAAAAAACATTTCAAGTAAGATACATGGGGGGCCATATTGGTAATTTTTTAAAACATTAAAATGAGGAAAATCTAATTTCAGACTGAATTTCCTGTGCTTTATTTCTTCATTTCTCCCTATTTTTATCTCCTCCTACTATTTCCTGGCTCTAGTTACATGCTTATTTCCATAATCTGTTGTTCACTCACTACTCCTTCATTCATCAATTTTGCAAACATTTAGTTAACTTCTACTTGACAAATGAGTACATAGCATTCCAAGATGACTAAAACAGTCTGGTGTAAGAGACAGACAAATATATCGCTGGATAAAATGCAATCAGATAAGCACAGTGGCGAAGACGTGCACCGGGAGTTACGGAGGCAACAAAGTGCGACATCTAATCTAGCCAGGGGGAGTCAGAGAAAGCTTCTGGAAGGTGTAGAACCTGAGCTGCGTCTTAAAAGATGAGTGAGCTAAGGAGCTCTGTTTACTAATTAAACATTCTTTCATTGCTACTTTTATCTCCAAGAGGGTGAATTTGCACAAATTCTTTTTTAAAACTTTTTTATTGTGAATTGGCAGTTTATAATTGCATACATTTATGAAGTATAAGGTGATGTTATGATTTATAAATGTAATGTAGAATAATTAAATCAAGTTATTTAATATATCCTTTCGCCTCAAATACCTAACACTTTTTTGTGGTGAGACATTTGAAATTTACTCTCTTAGCAACTGTGAGATGTAACACAAGCAACCCATGCCCTGTGAGTATGCTTTTGTTTTTTTTTTTTTTTTTTGAGACAGAGTCTCGCTTTGTTGTCCAGGCTAGAGTGAGTGCCGTGGCGTCAGCCTAGCTCACAGCAACCTCAAACTCCTGGGCTCAAGCAATCCTGCTGCCTCAGCCTCCCGAGTAGCTGGGACTACAGGCATGTGCCACCATGCCCGGCTAATTTTTTTATATATATATCAGTTGGCCAATTATTCTATTTATAGTAGAGACGGGGTCTCGCTCTTGCTCAGGCTGGTTTTGAACTCCTGACCTTGAGCAATCTACCCGCCTCGGCCTCCCAAGAGCTAGGATTACAGGCGTGAGCCACAGCGCCCGGCCTGAGTATGCTTTTCAAATGTGATACCTGGCTCTGTCATTGTTAGTTGTGCTGGGTGCTTCGGTGCATCTTTGGTCTCTCTCCGGTTTCAGCTGCCGCTGTGGTGGATTAATTCCATGGGTGCTGGCAGCATTTACTTCCTGTGCCACTGTATCCACAACACCTTTCCTGTCTCTGGGTTTCTTTGGAAGCCTTGTGCCCAGCCCAAGTGCAGGTGCAGCCCAGAAGAGTTGGTGAGTTAACACCTCCCGGAGCAACTCTCAACCAGTGGGGACCAATGTCAGTAAGTGCATGTCCTGTTCTTCAACATGAATTTAGGAGGCATTCTATGTGCTTCTCAGAGGTTCTGGTGGAGTTGAGCCCCTACTGTCTACAGAAAATATCTCAATAGCACACAATTTAGAGAATTTTCCTCCTTCTCTGGATTAGTCTTTCTGCTTCTCTGTTTCACTCACAATCTTGCTTCCTGTGATGAGCCCCAAAACACACGACTTGCTCCCAAGTCCTCATCACAGGTCCAAAGGAATCCAAACGAAGGCATTAGTCATTCAGAAATGAAAAGCAATGGGGCCACCCAGTTCATGGGTTGTGAATTCTATCATAGAACTGAGCTCTTATCTCAATTGTATCAACTAAAGTATCTCAATAATTTATAATTTCTGTTGTTTTTTGCTTTTAAAAGGTGTTTTGTGAAATATTTCATATCTACAGAAGAGTGCATACAATGCAAATGTGTGACTTAATATTAAAATGAACATCCAAGTACCTACTACCCAGCTTAATAGTGCATAACTAGTATACCACTGTCTTAGAATATCCTTATATGCCCACCCCTTTTCTACCCTTACCAGTATAACCCAAACCAGAATTTGGTGTTGCTTGTTTTCTTACTTTTCATATAATATTAACATATGTATCTCAAAGCAATGTCTTTTAGTTTTATCTGTTTCTTACATTTTATATACATTATTTTATATTCTTATTTAACTTCCTTTATTTTTCCTTCCTTTTTTTTTCTTTGCTCAAAATTATTTTATAGATTTCTCTATGATGTTACATTGAAGAGTAGTTTATTCATTTTCACTGTGGTAGAGTGTATGAATATACTATTCTTTATATAATCATTCTACTGTTGATGGATATTTAGGCTGTTTCTGGGTTTTTTTTTTTTTTTTTGTAGTTACAAACAATGCTACTGTGAACTTCCTTGAACATGTCTCCTAGTGTCCATGTTCAAGACTTTCCACTCTGTAGAAGTGGAAATACTGGGTTATGATATGTGTATGTTTAACTTTTCTATGTACTGCCAAACCTTTATACCAATTTATATTCCTACTGGAACTGTGTAATGGTTTCCATTTTTCCACATTATTTCCAACATTTGTTATTGTCTGAGTTCTTAATTTTTGTTAATATGGTAGAAGTTTAATGGTGTTTCATTGTGATTTTATTTTATATTTCCCTGACCACTAAAAAAGTTGAGTGTTTTAAGATATATTTGCATTTCATTTGTGTTTTCACTTCTATGACATGTAGTCTTTTTATCTATGACTGCCATGTATTATCATCTTATTTTCATTTGACCTCAAGCAATCCTCCCACCTAGGTCCAGAGTGCTAGGATTATAGGTATGAGCCACCGCACCCAGCCTAAACGTTTAGATTTTTAGTTTTAACTATTTTTTAAAGTCTTTTAACAGCTTTATTAAGATATTGTTGACACAAAATAAACTGCACATATTTAAAGTGTACAATTTGATAAGTTTTGACATGTATACATACCCATGACACCATCACCACAATCAAGATAGTGAACATATCAATCACTCCCAAAACTTTCTCAGGTCCCTTGGGAATCCCTTCAGAGTGTTCCACTAGTGAATTGTGAGAGACTGGCTGGTGGCAGGAGGCACTATTATTGGCCCTTTGTGACGCCAGGTATTGTTTCCCTTAATGACTTCAGATGTTCCTTTCTCTGGCCTCAGGTAGTTTCCTCCTGAGCAGATGTCCTGGGTTCTCTGTGCAGCAATCTTGATCCTCTATTTGGCCGTAAACTCTGGCTAGTTTGGTCTCTCTGGCCTCTCAGCTCTGTATTCACAGGGAAAAGCAACTTCTCAGCCACTCAGGAAAATTACTGGGCTCCACCTTGATCCCCTCCCTGTGTCCATGGCCTGCAAACTCTCAAGGCAATAAATCAGGGCAATCATGGCTTTCTTCTCATTTGTTTTCCATCTCTTAGGGATGACTGTCCTTTGTTCCCTGATGTCCAGTGTCTTGAAAATTGTATTTTATATTTTTTTCTGTTTTTTCTTTTTTTTTTTTGGTTGTTTTAGCTTTGTTTAATTAGTCATGTCAACGAACCAACTTTTGTTTATTGGTCTTTCCTGTTATATGTATATTTTCAATTTCATTAATTTCTGTTCTTATCTTTATTTCCTTCCATTACCTCATTATGAATTCCCTTTTTTTCTAAGCTAGATTAATAATAGCAAGCCCTCATTTTCTTGTGTTAGCCTTTAAGAGACAATAATAAGTTTACCTCTTAGTTAAAACTTTAGCTGCACTCATGAGGTTTGTTATGGACTGTTTTCATTGTTCAATTCTAAAGCATTTCTAAATTTTATCATTTTTTCCTTTGACCCATGCATTTCTAGAAATGTTTTAAAATTTCCAAATGGATTTTTTATTATTAATTTCTAACTTATTAATAGTTGCATTATAGTCAGAGAAAGTCATATTTGAGATACTGTATAGTTGACAGACAATAAACTATACAATATTTAAAGTATACAATTTGATAAGTTGTAGCCAATGTAACACCCATGACACTATCACCACAATAAGATATTAAAGTTATTCATCACCTCAAAAGATTTGTCATGTTCCTTTGTAATCTTTCCTGAATACTTCACATAGTCAAATGATTGATATCATATAGGTGATTGTTAGGATAATGTTATCTGCAAGTAGTGGAAAATCTAACTTAGCATAAGTCAAACAATAGGGAAAATATTTTATCTCATTTAACAGAGTCTTGAGGGAAGATGCCTATGGGATCACTGAATTAAGTAGCTCAGTGACACCATCAAGGTCTTAGGATTTTTATAACCTTCTGTCCTTCCATACTTTAGGTTAGTTCCCTTCCTAGTTGCAAGATGGCTATCTCTTGTCCTGGTTCACACGCGGACATCAACATGTCAACAGAAAAAGAGGCCACCAACTTCCTTTGTGCCGCTTTAAGAGTAAGGAAAGGTTTTCCATATGTCCCCATTAGACTTCTCCTCTTTCCAGTTGTGTCACAAGCCCTTGTCCTATGCCAATCAAGGTTAAGAAATACTACCCCTGCCTTCCCCTTCACAGAGCTGACACTGGGACTGGCCTCCCACAAAGCACATTGCCATGGGGAAGAGAAAGTTCAGTTTATAAGGACAGAAGCAAAGGATGATGGGTAGCAACTAAAGGTGTCTGTTACATGAAGCCATCCAAAAGACATAATCAAAAGAGGAGCCATTTAAATATTAAAGACAAAAAACTCCAACCCCCGAGAGCACACAGCCTGTTTGTCTGTCCCTGGATTCCTACAGAGTTCACTTGAGTCATGGAACCACCTCAGACCGTATCTTCTTAAGAGATTAAGGCATGGGACAAAGGACCAAGGTTTACATTCCCCCAAGAGGTCACAGCACATAGATTAACCTAGAAGACAGGGCCCAGAGGGTCCCCTTGGGATATACTTAAGGAAATGGTTAACCCAATCATTTATCAACCACAGTAAGTACATCCTCTAAGAGAAGAGAACTGAAACTGGCCATTTATTTCAGTTTTACTGAAATTAACATTATCTCCCTTTTTACTTATCATCATTGAGTTTTCAAATAATAAAATACTATATTCCGTCCTATCAGCTAGCTTCAGCTTTTCATCACAAAGGACAGAAACGCTTTGCCTCCTTTGCAACACGTCTTGTGCAGTCCTATGAAAACAAGATATTGAATAATATTGCAATTGCAAATTAATTAATTCACTCAGGAAGCCTCCAGAGCTATCTTTCTCTCTCTCCTTCCAGTAACCACTGAAGGGAATACTCAGGATTAAACATTGTCATAAAGGCAGTATATAGCATTATGCTTTTGCTTGTAAATCACCTGCCACAGAATGAAGTGGTTTCCATGGTAAATTGGGAGGATCAGAATGGCAGGTTATTACCTTGGCTTTGTTCCTGAGATTCAGATTTCAAAAGGCTATACGCAATAACAGACAGGTAATTGGAGCCGGTACAAAAGTAGCAGAAATGAATGCTGGGTTGCCAAAAGGAAATGCCTGCTACATTTACCATGGTCCATGGTACTGTGCTAAATCCTTGTGTAAGCATCAATCATTTAATCTTCCTAATCACTCTGTTGGGTTGGTACTATATTA